AACAGACCACTTTAGGATCCCCTTAAAGGCTTGTGACTATTAAGATAATTAGCGGTGTGATTTAGACACGTTATTATTAAGCAGAAAGCATATTTTTTTAAATATAGGAATTAATGAATTCGAGGGGACGATTTAAATTTTTGAAAATGTTTTTGATTATATTAAACAGAAAAGCGCAGGTAATTTTTCGGTGTAATGGAATACATTTCTAGTGTGCTTCTTTACGCATAAATGAAGATGACTTACTTGGCGTCAAGGACTGCGTCCTTAAGATATAATCGTATTCCTAATTACGTAATTTTGCTTAAACAAACCGATCGTATCGCGCCGACCTCGAACTATCTGAGTCATCAAATACCTTTTAGAGACGCTCACATACGTCCGGGATCCTGACTTATATTGCATCATGATAGACTACATTAAATAATGATCTTTTAGCGGCGCATTGACGTAGTGACAGATAATCAATAAGCAAAGCGTGATTGAGATTATAAATTATCAAGTTTCCATTACTTTTTTTGCAGAAAAATCAATAATTTTAGACTTATAATTTCTGTTTTTTTTTTCGGGTGCAAATATGATTAATTATAATAAAGAATTCGCGGATTGTACAATGCATTCAAGGCTGAGCGCGACGAAAGCAACGATGTCACGAGTCTTGTGAGATCGACAGTGACAGATTTCGTGGCTCGGATCGATGGAAGGACCCTGATCACTAACCTGGGACGTCGAGAGGGCGAAATGATTAACGATCGCGTAAGCCTCGTCCGTGAAGATCTCCGGGATCGGCTCGCCGGCCTCCTTCGCCGCGTAGCGCAGCCCCATTAGGTGGTTGTCGATACCTTGACCGTGTATGTTGTCGTTCATCTCTTTGGTTTGTCTCTGCACCGCCAGGTCGAACAGCTCCTTGATCCTCTCCGCCTGAAGGAGTAAGCCGGAAACAATATTCAATTGAGTCCGATGTAATCGATCCGTCAGTTTTTTTGTTTCCGACGATGATCTTTGCGATACACATATTGAAGACAGGACGTCAGCGTTCGAAGAAATCATGAAGGAATGAATTCAATCAGCTATGCTTCATTGATTCTAACAAGGTTAATTGGATAGTATTAGGTTTGTGATCGTAATTAGGCGGCTCTCATACGAAATCTTCTGCAACACATTCGATAATCTTTACTCATGGATTTTTTTACTAATTTTAAGTCAATTTTTTAAAAAATAATTAACAATATTATGATGATAAATTATACTGCGAGTTCCTTCATGAAATTTCGACTTTATTAAATAAGATATTAGTTTCGTGAGTGCTTATTATTTTGTGACGAAGTACATATTAAAATATTACAGTGAAAAGCAACATCAAGCGTGGAGATAATAAAAATAGTTTAAAAATAGTTTAATAATTTTTGAAGTATCACATATTAAATAAAATTTGAGAAATCGCAAATTAAATAAGTAAGCCATACATTTGCGGAAAACAGATCGTTAAAAGAATTTTGGCGGTCAACACAAACACATGGACAATTATTATTTTGTATAAATTTTGAATAAACATGAAAAGCCGCTATAAACAATTAGAAAATGATGACAAAGAAAACAGAAGCGGCTAAAATAACATAATGCTAAAGGGGAAAATACGAGAGCGCAGTAAATGAGAAACAACATCTCGTTGCCGCGGTATTTTCTGAACGAGGGTGGACCGTGAAAGAGGGAAACAGACGGAATATTCCTGCGGAAACTTGCCCGGGGCCTCTCGAGGATCGTGCAAACACTCGATCGCAAAGGAAGAACGAGCCGGTCCGGTCTAATTGATTGTCTTTTTCCAGGAAGCTCTTGTTTTTTCTTCAGTTTTTCATTGCTAGTTTCTGCTTAAACTTTCACATTTTATTTAACAAACGGATTTCGTAATTACATTTTCCTTTATCGCGATTTGGAACTTTTTGCATACAAAAAGAGTAAAGAGAAAAGTTTAAATATAATTTAAAAAACATTGTTATTTTCGATGTATAGAAAATTCTTGAAAATAAACAAGCAAAAAACACGTGAAATGTTAAGCGGTGCAAAAATTCATGCAAAGTGTTTCTGTAACACCAATATGCGCCGAGATCGATTAATATGTAATATAGCGTATATGTAGACATATACATATAAATGTATAGCAATATGAAATTGTAAGTCGATTATAAAGACGTCACATAAAAATATGTAATCAAAACGATGAAAGTATAGAAATAATAATAGAATAGAATGATCTATTTAGCAAAACGCAGCTTCACTCTGATGACATAAGACAAGAGACATGTTGAATGGAAAGAAAACAGCATAAATATTAAAACCTTTTTGTAGGTGAGTGCTTTTGGCAACGCAAATGGGCAATGCGACCAACCACTCAGAAAATTTTTCGTAGCACTGCAAAAGATGTATCGTGATATGCATAAAACAAATCAAATATCTTTCAATCGCGCGATTCTTCTCTTCGGTACGAAATTTTGCTACAGAATACTCGAACATTATAAAGCTTTATATATTTTTTATAAATACTATTTTAAAGTAGAGCTGCGATCTACGAATTTCGGCTGATTTTTGTAATTGATGTTCATTGACTTGTTATTTGTTATTCTCTGCACAAAGTCTCTTATCTATTAAATTATATTCGTAACAATTTGTCATAAATCATCGTAGAAATCAATAAATAATGCGTATAAATAAAATTTATTTATTTACAGAACGTAACAGCGGAGAGAGTCGAAAGAATAAAGCGATAATAAAACTAGAAAGTAAAATAAGTAAACGCATTCCGCTCGACCTTGTCGCAGTTCTGTCGAGTGTACTCGGGTTGTGTGTGTTACACGACACGAGAATCGCATAGGAAAAATGCCAAGTTTCAGTTACACTGTAAATGGTGAACTGAACTCTTTTGGGACTCCCGTCTACGGCGTTGTTCGGCTGATTCGTCTGGCCGTAAGGATCGCCCTGGCACATGGCCTTCGCCCATCCCAGCGCTTCCGGACTGGCGGCCCGGATGCAGTCCACGCGGCCCAACGCGAACCTTCGGATGCCGGCGCTCTCGTAAGTGGCCACTAATTTCCCGTGGAGTCTGGGAATATCGCAAGATCATGTCCATGAAACGACGGTGATTTGGCGCGGCTTAATTTATTAATAGCGAAAACGAAGAAGGATCTTCTTGACATCAAATCAAAGCAGAAAAATTTATCTTTTAATTAACATGTTAATTTATGGAAATTTGCCTGCTATAATTTTGTCGTGACACATAGAGACAAATTTTTAGTTTCCGCTTTTTTAGAATGATTAAATTTCGTTCAATATGACACATCTCATTGTGTGAAAAACGCATTCGAAAAACAGATTTAATGTACACGAGTTGATAATTAAAAGGGAAATATAATTTTTTATATCATTACTTTACCTGAAATATGTAAGCTGGAGCGCCAATTGTATGTACGCGTCCGGGCTAATTCTACAAGCTTTCACAAAGTCTTTTGAGTAATCTTCAAACCGCAAAATGCAGAGGTCCAAATCTTCGACCAGTCTGGAAGATAAAAATATCATTTCTGATTGTGTGAATACAGATTTATAATATGTTTTGCAACAAGATTTGCATAAATCATTCAAGACACCGTATGATTAAAGACAAAATTCGAATCGAGATTTCTCGAGCAATTTTCAGAAATTTAATTTGTTAGAGGTGGAAACAGCTGATAAGATTTTTTTTGGAGTTACTCACGCATCGAAGTTTATCATGGCTTCTCTGATATCGTTCAGACTTTGCTCGGTGAGGCACCACTCCAGTTTTTCGGGCGCCGGAAGATGCGAAGGTACCAGATTTTCGTCCGGCGGCGTCATGGAGTCCACCTTCTCCGTGATCTCTTCGAAAGCTTTGAAGATAGCCGGCGCTTCGCCAGCGGAATGCTCGTACGTCAATCCCCACATTCCATCCTGCGTCACAAAAATTCGTAAAGAAAACATGAATTAAAGAAAAACGTTCTTCATAAATTATTGAATATCAACTGTTATTGTTTTGATCAATATGAAACACAAAAGATATTTATTAAATACTTGGAACATAAATTTTAGTCATTGTAGAATGATACTGCAAAAATATTTCCGCACAATTTAGACCCTCTTCAATTAATTTCAGTTGCTTCAGTTAACTGAGAAGAACGCAAAATTGGACCAAAACGACTTTGTAATATTTTGTATTATTATTCTGTATTCATTTATAATATCTTTTGCGCCCCGACATTGGCGCTTGGCTCTTATAGTTTTTTCTTCCACTGGTTTTTTTATTATTATAGAATCACACGTTATATTGTTTAGTTATTGTATTATCAGTATATTGAGAGAATTATTAAACGAGAGAATAAATGAGAAAAATTATTAAATAAATAAATATTGAAATAAATAATACACAAATATACGAGAAATCTGTATAAGTACATAGAATATTTATATTAAATCAATTAATATCACAGCTGGATATGAATTATTTAATATTTAATTATTTAATTATCCAATAAATAAATATTTATTATGATTGTTATATTAATAACAATTAAAAACGAGAAGACGCAAGAAAATGATAAATCAAACCACTTCGTTTAATGTCGATACTTTACGCAATTTAAATAATGACGGAAACTACTTGTATTCTATATTTCCGTCGCAGTAATTAATTAATTGATCAATTATGAACGAAATATTGTTCCAACATAAACACGGAACATGCTATTTTCATTGATTATGGAAATATTCCGACGGGAAAGGATTAAATGTATTTCGCGTGTGGAATATGAAAGCGCGATGCAGCAACGTCGCAAATTCATGAACGACGTTTTCGTCCGTGAACCCTGACACCAATCAAATCGAAGATTAGTCCTGGAAGCGGTGAAAGTGATAAGTTCAATTTAGCCGAGCGTGTCCGTAGAAAACATCCGTCGCGAATTGTTACGCGTTTGATTGGGGATTTACTGCGAAATTACGTGTATGGCGCTATTACAGCGCTAGGTGTATTATTTTCCATTGTGTTGTTTGTTTCCTGTTTGCTACTCGTTCTAAATGCAATTGAATTTTCTGCTTTAGCGCATTGCAATAAATAGAACTTGATTTTCCAAATTAACACACGTTGAGTGGATTTTGATTAATTTACCGATTAATTTTGAGGATGTCATAATTAAACGTCGCAATGTGCCGAATGTATATTAACGTACCTTGCCAAGAATAGCGTGAAAAGTCTTATCGAACCAACGATTCGCGCCCAAGTGCCGGGACCCTCCGCCGTGAAGAGCGTGATGAAGCACGTTCGCGTAATCTCGATCGCCGATCCATCGGTCCTCCTTCTTCATGGGATTGTTAAACGTAGTCGGCAACACGTCGTCGTCGATGCAAACGACGCACAGGCAACGCTCCAGTAACTCCAGATTATGACGATTACGTTCATCTAAAAGTCGTTTGCAAGCCTCGTTAAATCCGATAATGCTGAGTTGATTTTACGATTTTCGCGAAGATTTTCTGTTGGCATGCCGTTGAAAATCATGTGGCGATAAAAGCAGCAATATTTTAATAATATTTTTAGAATTAAACTTGAGAAGATATATTCAATTTTTTGTAAAATTAAATTTAAATTCTTTTGGCTTCATTTTTATTGAAATATTATTTTAAAATGTTTTATTAACTTTTTCCTTTTATCTCGCTAGCCAAGCAGAAAGCAGAAATTACTCAGATTATGTAACATAATTTTAATTAGCCTGCGCATAAACACATATGCGAAACATGAGCGCGTTTGTGGAATGAAATCTATCAGAAAGACGGGATATTTTTATTTTAATAAGAGCTAAACTTTTTCCATTATCTTCTGGACTTCCCTGCTGTTAATTAATCAATGCGGACGCCGGTCGCCGTTAACTCATTACCGTCCGCTGTTCATTCGATTTGCAGGCGTAGGTAGGTCGTAGGTTCTTGGTGAGCGAGATCGGGTTAGGGAGTTAATAGGAATATTGCGAATATTGGTGAAGCGGAGAACGCGAGTGGATGATTATAGCAAGGGTGGCACGTAGCGACGAGGGTCGTCCGCAGGCGGGTTATTTTCTTTTTTTTTTTGGGTAACTGGATTATCACACTCCTCTTTAACAGTAAAATAAACAGTAATTACGAAGTATTATAAATAAATTAACTGACAGGCAAAATTGTAAGCAGTGTACAAAAGACATAATTTTGTAACTCATTTTGCAATATGTGTCAACTTTAAGATTTTCCAGACTTATACCGAGTTCTGTTGGAAATCCACAGCGTGAGAACCAAGTGCAGCCCGATGTTTTCGTTAATAAAGGTGCCACGGATACTTCTCTAAATAATATACGCACTTTTAACGAGCTCGTCTCGTGCCTTCGCCCAGACTGGTCGTTTCGCGGTCGTGAGAATTCCAACCGGCGGAGTCCTTGGGTCAGCTTTGGTCTCCATGATCCTCAATAATTGCTGGATCAATTCGGTCTCTGTGATCCGGCCTCGATCCGACGCTCTTACCGGCACGCTATAAAACTGCAAGAATGTGCGTCGAAAATCATGACAACGCGCCGCGAGATATTCCTTCTCTCGATGCCGCGATATTTTGTGCAATTCGCGTAGCCGTGTTTTATGAATAATCGATTAAATTTTACTAAATTATCAAAAATAATGGAAAACTAATTGTATATAATAATAAATAATTTTACTCTTGAAATTACTAAGAAAAGGACTTAAATAATTCATTATTTATTGTCGATCGTAAAAATAATTGTGTATTGTAAGAATAATTTTGTTTGTATATAGCATTGTCCCACTCCGAATCGTGCCATTACCTGATTGTGGTGAGCGACGATAATGTGATCACCGGAGGACGCTCTATCCAGGATAATTTGCTCGTCGGCATTCACACCGGGTCGCCGATAAATCCGAAACATTTGATAATGCTGCGCCATGCAGAGTGGTTGCATAGTTTTGCCGTCCTTGGATTTCACACGTTCCACTTCCAGGCCGGATCTGTTCAAAGTTTATTTTATACTTGAGAAGCAGAAGCGTGTACATTTTAAGACAATCAAACTTCACATTTATATATTGTTATGATCAGAGCAAAACAAGGCGTTATATTTATGTTAATTTATTCAACTTATTAAATTTTTTAGAAGGAAGAGAGGTGAAATAAATTTTTGGGTCCAACATTCTTCGGGTGAAAATATATTCAGAATAAATTTTCTGAAAATTCTTTCCAAATTGTGCTCTTCTTTTTCAGGCAGACGCGCGACAAGACGAGCTACGCTCGCTATTAAAATCCTCCCGCAAATTTGTGTAAGTTTTTTTTTTTTGCGTTAGAGAGAAAGAAGCACTCTTCGCAACCCCGAACTTATTCCCGCCAGGATGCAGGATACCGAGGATCCTTTGAACCACACTCGACGCGCCGGCGGGAGCATCCGCTCATTCTCTCGCGGATCCCTATCCTCTTTATGCTCACTTTCTATGGATCTTACAGCCCGGATTTCCTCGCAGACGTACGCCCTTTCTAAATTGATTTCAATGCGGCTTCTTTTTGTTCCGAGACGATGAAGACGAGGACGAGTCGATTGGCACGTCGCGTCTTGTCATGTTGCTTCCTCGCAAATTTTTCGGTATTAACGATTATCAAAATGCACTCAAAATGAAACAACAGTGAATCGTATACTATAAATGATGAAGAAATCATCACAGACGTTTTACACAAGAAGAAACAATTTCCATATTAATCTATTTTATTTCAATTATTTAAATTTAAAAACTAACGAAGAGAGCTATAAGAATCGCTATAAGAATGCGCGGCGAAGCAAGCGCAATAAATTTATTACAAATTAATAACAATACAGATTTTTTGTTATTACAGAACCATACGTTACACTATCTAAATGAAATTGAAACAAATAATTAGAACTTAATAAAGCTGAAATAAATATCCGAGGCAATGTAACTATTATCCAATAATAGAAGGAAAGTTCGGAACAGTTTGATCCTAGATTATTTGAAGTGAAAGAGTAAAAGCGCGAAAAGTTAGAGCATTATCTCACCTGTCCAATAATTCCTGATAGTTAAGAAGTTCGGTGAGAAATCGTGCGAGGAATACCGCGGCTTCTTGCTGATTTGCGAATCTCTTCGGTTTCGCGGCCAAGCCGGGGTTGCTGTTGATAGGCAGAGCCAGCGGGATGGAAAAGTACATGTCGTTTAGCCACCATTCTGTCGCCTATAAACATTACAATTAACGCATATAAATATATAAATTATTTATTAAACACACATTACAATTAATTGTAGAAATTGTCGTATTAAATGCAATAATGCAGAATTATGTTTGTGAAATTGCACAACAATTAATATTACCGTATATTAATAAAATGATCTAGAAACTTCAAATAAAATATACGTGTGAATTTCTTTAACAGTGTTTTCAACATTTTAATATAATCGACTTTTTCACCAAAGGGCTTAATTCTGGATAGACGATTCTGGACTTCGCAGAGATGCCAAGAGTCTCGAATAAAACTCATTTCAGTAATTCTTCTGTTGCGAATGATATCGATCGTGATTTAATTGAAATCCCGCGATGATCGCGATGTAGGGCGCAATCAGTCAGTGAGGTCAGTGGCTCCTAAGCTCGGCTCTCGCTTCCGAAGCACGTGTAGCGACGAAGATAGCTGCTCAACTGTTCATAGTAGTGCAATAGTTACGTAATAGTTTATTCGCGTTACGCGTACGTACACAATCACGCTCGTCACGTTCATTCTTGAATGAGCGCGCGTACCGGATTCTCCGAATGCTACGACTTAGTGAAAAATGTAGCAACATGAGCTAAAAAGAGATCTTTCATGCTTCGCGCATTAATGTTTAAAAACTGCGAAAAATGAATCGGACTTAAACTAGAATTGAGATTGCATTAAATATTAAGAAATTTTGAGTTCTGACAGATCTCGACAAGCTACAATATGTTTTTGCACATTTGGATAATGTTAAAAAATTGAGGAAAACAATTCACACGTCTTGTTTAAGGTTTCTAGAAAATTATTAATACTTTCTGATTTATCTTTTACGGCAAAATTGTTGTTACGTTCTATAAAATATGTTTCGCTTTTTCAGTTTATAAATACGAACATTTATATTTCCCGTTTATTGAATAAATTAGATTTCAACGAAATGACAAATAAATAAAAGATAATATCATATATGAGAGATCGAAAGAAAATAGACATATTAATAATAGAAAATAATCTATTGCTTGCCAATCGATGACGTAATTAACGTCACGATTTCGTTTTTCATAGGATAATCGGGGATTAGTCCCAGCGCGTCATTAAATGCGGATTAAACATTCGAATTTTGTCGCTACCTTCATTTTCATGTGTCGCTCGATAAAATCGCTTGTACGTTAAATTAAAAGGGGGAAAAAACAAGATTGTATTAAAATTTGTAGAATCTTTTCAATTTACAATTTTTATATCAACATAATTATTTGTGTTTTAACATAATTATTGTTATCGTATTTAAAATATAACAGAAGCGAGAGTAAATTAAATACTAAAACTGCTTGCACACACTGAATTATTAAAATATCTCGCAGAGCAATTTGGAATTATCTCTATAATTTTCCTGTTTTTAGAAGCCATTAAAAAACTTTTTAAATACATTATTTAAATTCAATCTCCACAATTCAGCTTGAATTACCTTAAAGTGTCCATGAGTTCGCAGAACAACATTCTTTAAAACGTTTCCGAGTTTTATATTAATTGGATAAGATTAATGTTTGTATGGTTTAATGTAGTCATGGCATTAGCGTTACTCATTTAGAATAGTACACATGCGCAATAAACTAGAAACATACCCGGAATAACGGATACCACTCGAAGGTAGTTATTTACCATGATGCAGGTAGACCGCACTTTCCTGTTTATCTACATTTTGTGACGTTTCAGGTGTCTACGATATTTATTTTATGATCTGTTCGACGGAAACAGATAAACATCGCAAACTTTCTCGCAACGTATTTGGAGAGACAGTCGAAAGAAATTATGCTGGATGTATTGCGTGGTGTCATAAATGATTGTGTACTTTCCGATAATGATGTTATTTTTTTTTTTTCTTAATGCAATACGCTTTTACGCTACGTGATACGCGAGCTCGGTTATAACTTCGACAAACAAATATTAAAAATTTGCTTGGTATTAAAATCGGTGATCAAAATCGTTTCAACCGACAAAAAATAGTAGGCAGATTTATTTTAAATCCGAAATTATTTATTACGGAATACATTCTGCGTGTTCGGAAAGAGGAAAAGACCTTTAATTCCGGTTGCTAACTGTATTGCTCGTATCAACCCTTGTAGTAGAGCTTCTTTTCTTCTCTCACGTGATTTTAGGTCAGTGTGACGAGTAACAAGTCGAAGCTCGCATACATGTTTCACGAACTCCGTCTCTCCACGTCAATATAATGTAACAGGGGTCTACTTTCGTATCGCCTATAGATAGAACTTGCGAGCTCGGCTTGCCGCGTATTCATGGAATAAAAGCTATATTTGACTGAAGATGACACCGTTTCGACGCGCAGGAATGTCGGCGCGCGGCGCTCTTTTTTTAGATCGCTGATATAGTTTCGGCGACACAGCGAACAAAGAATCGTCCATACGCGAACGAGATTTCGTCGGTAATTCTTCTTTTCAGAATCCGTGAAAATTTTTGTTCGCTCCCTATTGAAGCCGCAGCCGACATCACGCCGGAAAAGATTTAATAGTATTCTAATCAAATTCTCCTCAATTAAATTTCGACGACAGGACAGAAATTGACGGAAATTGCACGATTAAGATTGCAATAAGCTTGTGAAGATGCGATTACAATTTAAGTGGATATGTGATTCTGCATGCACTCTGAATTGCTGTGTAATTGAGCGTACGTAGAATTGATATTTTTATGCATTGCCTTAAATCCTTCCTATTTTCTGTTTATTAGGAAATTGCGTTTTGCGATGAAATTAATGACCCATAATTGTCATGACATTTAAGTACTCGACGTAGATACCGCATCATTATAACGTAACGTGTGCGACGAGCATCGTAAAGAAGCTGAATAATGCTGTTTATCCACGTTATTCGTTTCTTTGATTCAACGTAACAATCATTGGAAATCGTATGCGCTATTCGATAATAAAAGCTCGTTTCACTTTCATTTAATAGAATTTTACTTAATATTGACTTAATCAAACGTCATTTCGATATTTGTTGTTAAAGTAAACAAAATTTATTTTAACGAAGTTTTTTTTTCTTGAAAATTTTTTTGCACCGTTTAAAAACGAAATATTTGTTTTCGAAAACCAAAACATCTGATTCTCGGTGAACCGCGCCGGCCGGCTTAAATGCACATCTCCGTAACAAGACGCGGAATCCGAGTTACGCAAACGCAAAGCGTACGGGATGCTCGCTTTAACGCAACGCATCGCAACGCAAATCGGTTCACGGAACTTTGCGCCGTGGGACGAAAGGCTAGGCTCATCGCATTCAGTCTGTGGACAAGACTTATCCGACCGGCGAAAGCCGGTGACTTTGACTGCCGATAGCGAAGTTGGACAATCTTTTAGGGCACGGCCGAATATGTTTCGACAACGCGCTGCATCACGTACGTGAATGCTGCGCAACGAGGATGCATGCAAGCAAAACGAGACGGATCTATCTTCGGCGAGGACACTCGACGCTATTGCACACATTAGATTGTATTTGTTTCAATACATTCATAATCGCAGAGTAAAAAAATAAAAAAAAAATTCACACTTTTACTTTTCAGAAATCATGATATACCCGAAAACCTCGAAAAAATATGCAGATTTGAATGCAAACTTAATGAATAATTGATTTTCCTATTCTATATAAAAAATTAATCAGTCGAGTAAATAATTATTACTATATCAATTATTCGATATTAATTTTTAACCTTAATAAATTAGTTATTATAACAATTAACTTTTATGATGCGCATAAAGCAATCAACGAACAATCACTCATTGTTTTCGCTTCGCTTTCAATCCAGCAAATCAATTATAATAATAAATTAATGCTTATTCCACATATGAAAACTCTATAATTGTATTTATATTTGTTTTAATTACACATTCAAATTAGATATTATAATTGCCCGTGACGAAATGTAACAGTATACGAAGTTCTTGTTTCAGAATTAAGCGGCAACTCATGCTTTATAGTTAACGATGTCTATTTTCTCGAATTATAAAAATATTACGCCGTAATAATCGCGCCGCTCAACTAATTACCTTGACAACGTGTGACAGCGTACTTGAAACGATCCTCGTGGCGTTATTAATATCTTGCGTCACGCAGTGCCACGTGTGCCGTCTTCAAGTACACTCGCGTATGCGTAATTAGTGCGCGCTCTCGTAAAGATAAGTATGGTAGTAAGTGCCTCATTGACGTGGCAAAGTATCCGAGGTTGATTCGTCCGACGATAGCGATCGTTCACACGTCTCGCAAATCTGTGAAAGTCGACTTGGAAGCCAGCCCTCGCAATCACGCGGACAATTGCCAGATGCTGAAGTAATTGCGCCTGTGCGAGTTCTGTGATGCTGCTCGATCTTTCATCAAAAATCTCGACGCAAATCTAGACGTTTTGCGTAATAATTAACACAGAGCGTTGGATGTACATGGCGTACATTGTTTTTCCGAAAGTTAAAATAATTTTGAATATCGGGAGGACGCGAATCATTTTGACCAGCTTCGACGCGAATAGCTTCGGCTAATTAAAAATGTAAAAGGCGAATTGAATTTCGCCGAGAACAGAAATAGCTGAATTATATTCTTTAATCGGCTTGATGCACACCGCACGTATAACCCGTCTAGTGGAAAAAGATTACCCAGATCAGCCAGTGACACGACAGTTTCAACTCGCGGCGCACATGCGGGATGAACGCTTACGAAACCGGCATTTGAAGTCTCGCGAACATTGATGCACGCCGTTCTCCGCGGCTTAATGAGATACCGGTGCACGTGATCGGCGCATTAGAGCATTCTCGCGGAATATGGATTACCCGTCGAATCGCTTGTGCTGATCGCGTCGTGTCGCGTCGCGTCGCGTCTCGCGCATCTCCGAGTCTCGAAGTTTCGTTATAAACGGTGTTTAATCTGCAGCAAGAGTTTCAAATGAGGAAAATGACATTTGTGCGACGATTCTCTGCAATATTTTACTTGCAATC